GCAGACACCCAAAATAAAGAATCTCTTCAGATAGGAGCCCCAGAACACACAATGTGTGCTGGAGAACAGCCATGGCAAGTACAGTCTGGCACCTTACATCTCAACACATGACAAAGTTCTGCTTAGAAAGCAGTCAGTGAACACAAAGTATAGACAAGAACTATGTTGAGAGGTGAGGGGAATAGAAAAGCAGGTCACAAGTGAGAGACACTATTCCTCTTGAAACGCAGAAAATTCAGAAGTTATATCCAAGTGTAAAAAGGTTTTCCACAGAGAGCTATTTTAAATTGGGCTTATTCTGGTTTCTGTTCTGGATTCCTGCTACGAGATTTCAACTGGACTAAGTCTATGTCACTGGCTTAGATGCTTCCCATTTTTTTCCTGGGAGAGTAACAAGCCCGTGATTTCACATAAAATCAAGGGGACCCTCGCCACGTTCCAGATGACAAGGAAGCTCATACACAAGTTGTTACTTAAAACCCCACCGAATACAATATTACTTGTGTTCACAAATAGTTGCTCAGTACAGTACAATAACCTCCACTGATCCTGTGTGCTCCTAACATGGGGAGACTTTCATTTGCTCAAGTCAAAATGAAGAGAGATATTTGCAGCTCACTACACAAATCTGAAGAGAAGCAGAATTCAATACACAAACCACTTGCTCCTTCTGTTTTGAACAAGCCATTGCTACTATACAAATACATGTCTGGATTGGAATAGCTGAAGAGAAACTTAGTTGTATAAGTGCCTAATTAAATTCTTAAGAAAGGTCTGTACAAGCAAGTCTTCAGTTCTGTTAATGCTCTGCTCTTAAACTTATGATGCCTTCCAATACCACTAACTTAGAAGTTCTGGCTGCATTTCTAAACCTCGCTATTGCAGATAGTATCCCATGTTCCTGATACTTCAGAGCTTGTAACTGCAAGGACACAGTACCAAGCTCTGCACTCCAGATACTTCTCGAGCTGCATAGAAATCTTTCACGTTTGTTTTTTTGGCTTCACCACTTATCTGGTGTGGAGACCTCATAGCAGCCTTCCAATATCTGAAGGGGGCCTACAAGGATGCTGGGGAGGGACTCTTCATTAGGGACTCTAGTGGCAGGACAAGGGGTAATGGCTTTAAACTTAAACAGGGGAAGTTTAGGTTAGATCTAAGGAAGAAGTTCTTCACAGTGAGGGTGGTGAGGCACTGGAATAGGTTGCCCAAGGAAGTTGTGAATGCTCCAACCCTGGAGGTGTTCAAGGCCAGGTTGGACAGAGCGTTGGGTGACATAGTTTAGTGTGTGGTGTCCCTGCTCATGGCAGGGGGGTTGGAACTAGATGATCTTAAGGTCCTTTCCAACCCTAACTATTCTATGATTCTATCTGCACAGGTCCTGGCAAAGAAGAGGAAAAACACTGTTCCGTTGTTAGAATGCAATTTAAATGTGATACCTTAAAAAGTAGCAAACAACTTACAAAGCACTTTCAGGTGTCTCGGTTTATTTTCGCTCTTGGTAATTATTTGTGAAAGCAAAACGATCAAATACAAGCTCCCATCCATTCCTTGTAACCAACCCACAGTGTGCCCCAAAACTCGCCAACACGGACGTTATGCTAAATACGCTTAAAAACTTTCACTAAGCTCTGACCCTCTAGAAGAATTCCTCGTCTTTTAGGCAGAAAGAACACATCCTATATATAGGTTACACCGACTTGTACTCTGGAGAGACTGAAGAGATTGGCTCTGATAGATGTGGTGCTAATCATTTTTAATGTCTCAGAAGATACTGCAGCCTGGCTATTTTGGGACACCTTTTCACACTATGAGATTCAGTTTCCTTATCCATTTAATCAGAAAAACCCTTTGGAATTCACTTTGAAGTGCTCTGCCTCAGACACTAGATTCTGACAATTAGTTTCCATCTGAAAAAAAACCCCAAAACCTAAAAGCATCGCTGTTAACACCTAATTTTTAAATACTTTCTGAAGTGTCTGCAAACTGTTTGTGTTTAAGTTAAAACCTAAGGAAACTCACAGCCACTTAAAAGAAAGCAAACTTCACACCATCACCTTAATTCAACACCCAAGCACTGCTGCATTGAAAACAGAAACACAGAAGTGTCTCATTCAAACAAGTCACTCTAAGGGAGGTGCACCACTGCAGTACTCTTTACTGTGAGAGTGGCGAGGCACCCGCACAGGCTGCCCCATCCCTGACATTGTTCAAAGGCCAGGTTGGACACAGGGGCTCGGAGCAACTAGTGGAAGGTGTCCCTGCCCATGGCAGGGGGTTGGAGCAGGATGAGTTTTAAGGTCCCTTCCAACCCAGACCATTTATTTTTTTCCCCCATCGAAGCATCATACCACATTAGCTGTGCTTCAGCAAGATGCACAATTCCATCTAGCTGGATTTTGTGCAACTTGGACAAGTTGGAAAGGGTGACACAGGCAGAGAAATCTATTTTCTTTCTAAACCAAAATAAGATGGAGTTCACTAGCACCCTTGGCAGGGCATGGATTAGCTGACAGCTACAGTTTGGATGAAGAATCCTGGAGGTTCTTCCTGTTATGAACACAATAACTTCCATGTAAATTAGTCATTTCATGCCTTTTGCCTACAAAAGCCAGTCATCTTGCATGAAAAAAAAAAAACCCAACCTTAAGACTTTGCCAGTGATGATGCAGAGCCTTTAAGATCTGTTTAAACAAGTAATGTACATTACCTTATGGTAACCCACGGACAACAAGCAGAAAAGCTAGAACATATCTAGATGCAACAGAACCCAGATCTGTGACCTTAGAAGTTCGCAGCATCAGAAGTGGTTTTATTCTCCAGACTTGGCCTAGTTACTCTTACAGAGCTGTGCATTTTCCCTACCCCGAGAGATCACTGTACAAACAAGCAGCCAGATCTGACTGAAGCAGCTGTCAAACAGCAAAACAGATGAACAAGAACAGGGGCAGCTGCAATATGGTACCAACAGCCAAAACAGTGTTCCCTTCCAGGGCCTCCAATGCTCTTTGTCTCTGCAGGGGTGTGGATGGGCACAGGCTCCTTCCCCTCGTCTCCAGCTATGCAGCACAGCAGTGCTTTGGCTCCAGGCACTGACGGGAAGCTTCAGGATCAAGGGGGGGTAAATCAGAAGCTGCCCTGGTACAAACCATGGTGACTACACAGTCTGGAATGGAGAGCTCAGCCTTGCCCACTCTCCTCTTCATACCCAACTCAGAAGGCTGCAACCAAACCAGTGCTCTACCCTGATGTGGGAAGTTTGCTAGTTTTATTGTTCTTCACCTCCACTTCAATTTACATTCTGGTAGCTACTCATGACTTCATCTTCAGAAATGTTGCTCTTAAACTGTCCTTGTTTCAACTCATAAGGTACAGAAAAAAAAATATCCTTAATTGCATATAAAAACTCCACCAGAATGGAAACAGAACTGCAAGTCAGCAGATGTTTCTCTCCTAATCAATCAGTATGCAAACAGGGAAAAAAAGCTGAAGAATTAGTTTGAATGCTGGGTGTAAGTTCTATCTAAATTTCAGCTGTGTATGTACGCAAGCAGTGAGTCAATGTTGGGAAAAGATAGGAGGGGTTACACATTCCCGAGACAATTCCTGCAATACAGCTTTCCATTATTGCAGAATCACAGAAACTGGCAGAGAATTCTGACTGCTCCGAAATACTCACATCCTATCTTTTGTGCAATGTATGAAAAAGGTACCAGATGGAGACAGAACACAGCCTGGTTCCAAAGGAAAAGGAGGTTCTTTAGCCATTGCTAGACCACTTAGACTGCCTAACACCACAAGTTAGAGAATAGCCCATCCTATTTTAAAATCAAGCAACAAAAAAGCTACCATCCCAAGCACTTCAGTTACTCTGGACAACACAGGTAGTGCACTGCCTGACACAGAGCTGAAGCCACTAGAAAGACCAGTGGTATCTTACTGGGACATGACCATCTTGAAACTGGCCAGTGTGATTGGTATGGGTTAGGAGGTCTCCAGATGCTCCATCAATAGAGGGAACTGCTGGTACAGATCTAAAGCAATCTAGACCCCAGGGAGAGTCTGACTTCTCTTGCTAGACACATCCTCTGGGAAGAACAGCAGAATGTCAACCTCTGCAACGTAAAAAACAGCAACAAAGGTTTAGCAAGTTCCTCAAGCTACTTCCAACTGCTGACTCCCCAGAAAGGCCTCCAGTTACGTGCCACACAGCAAAGAAAGGCTACACATATCATGAGACACCACAGCATGGGGATAAGCAAATCCTGCAGCAGAGAGCTCCTGCCCCGTGAGGTTTAACTGGCCTTCTCATTGCAGATAACTGTGCCTGAACAAAACAAGCTCTGTGAGAGCAGAGCAGTGCATTTCTCAGATTTACTCATGCTAGATAAATGAGAGAGAAGGAGATGTAATGCCAGAACTTGAATCTGCTGAGAGATACTGCATGAGAAACCCCACATACAAGGCTTACCCTGCAGGACCTCTTTCTCTGCCTGCCACAAAGAAAACCTAAGGTTAACCTCTCAAAGCCTGGTAAGCTACTTCTCCCCTAAACTTCAGCTTTATGACACGTTGAGTTTTAAAGGAGCTAGTAGAAGACATAAAGATAACACATGATGGTTTGTTAAGTGTCTCAGGGGGGAGAGTAATACAGCTTGTAGCGACTTAAAACAAAACACCTTCCTTTTTGGGGAGAAGTAATTCCACTACATTGGCAAATTCCTTATCTATGTAATCTGATGCCAGTTTGGAAGTACTCAACTGCTGACCAGTTCTGGATGCCTGTTCTGTCCAACAAAAAGTAAATAATATCACCCTACAATACTACAGTCCCCATGTTGGTGACTTGTGCTGTGATACTTCCTAACTCACCAGAACACAGCCCATCCTGCCGCAGACACAGCAGGGAGGAGCGAAGAGCAGTAGGTTTTCGAACAGCAACCAGGTCAGAGCAGCAAGAGGGAATTCTGTACTTCATGTGATGCCAGTAGAACACTTACAGGGTTGTGAACTTCATCCGTTGAATGATGGATAGCCCACCAGTCAGACGTCCATTCCCAGGCATTTCCTACAATGTTGTACAAGCCATATCCATTGGGAGGAAACGCAGTGACCTACATGAGACAGGGAACAGAGTGCCAGTTCTGTAACCACTCAACACGAAATACAGTTTTTAACCCTGACCACCAGTCTGTTGAAGGTGCATTTGTCTTTAATAGGAGCTTCCACCTTCATACCTCAAAAGCAGACACCAAATTAGTAGTGCTGAACTGTAACATTTTTACATAGTCTGTTTAAAGAAAAGAGAATGAAACAATGAATCATTATCACCCTCTGTGTTGTCAGCACCACACTTCCACTATGGCACACAGCATTTTCTCATCGCCTCTAAAGAGAGGCACTCTTTGACCAGCAGACACAGACCTGAACATAGCCTTACTGATCTCACCTCCATGCCCATGCTTACAACTTCCAGATTCCCCTTCCCATAAACAAAAAGCAAGGGTGGCTGTCAACTCATGCAGACGCAGACTACTGATGAAGATTTTGGACTTACTTTAACTACCATTTAGTACTTCATTCACATTCTTGATTGCCTTTACAATCCCACTCCATTGTTTGCCATACCAGGCAGACTCAACCTTCCAAAACAGGAAGTTTAATTTCCTTTAAACTATTGATGATTTTTTGTGCCTTGGGAACAACTACCCAAAAAATGAGAGTTCAAAGAATTGCCAGGCCAAAAGTGCAAGCAGAAAGTATTTGTTTCTGACAATAAACTGTCTGGAATGGGGGAAAAGAGGTCAGTTTGAGAGGAACTAAAAGTTAAAATGGAAGTAATCTTTACTTTTCAATTACTTTTTAAAAAGTGTCCCTTGGTAATACTCAAGCCTACAGTGAAATATACTAGTGAAAGAGCACAGTAATAGGAAACAGCCATAGTTCACAGTGTTGAACAGACCTTAATTTTAGGAAGACTAAGTTCATTTCCATATGATTAATTCACTGAAACACACTTACAGGAGCAGTTCCTTTGTATCCATCTTCTGCAGTGTTATTAGTTGGGAACGCTCCCTGCCAGATATTAGTATAATGTTGACCTTTTGGCTGAAGCTTGTTGCCCCATGGGAAAAGTCTATTAAAAGACATACAGCAGAACAGTTGTCACACACTCTTATTTCTTTAAATAAAATCAAAAGGGTTCTACAATGACAATTCAGACACAAAGGAGGAAAAGGCAGCACTGCCCTGTGAGGTATGCAGTCCAGGACACAGGAGGGAGAAGACATAAGCCTGTAATTCACCTTGTCTTCCTGTCTCCCCAAGCCCACGGTCAGGTAAAAAGGGGATCCTGTGGCCCTAGAGCTGCTGTGCAGTGATGCAGTGATTTACTTCTTAAGCTCTTTTGCAACTCATTTGGCCTTGGCACTAAGCTTCCTCACTATTCCTTTCATGTCCTGCAACAGTCCTGTGTCTTCGGCCTTCTGTCACATCTGCTCTCTTGGGCTCTCTGCATTCTCCTCCCATTATAGAGTTCAGATTACAAAATACCATTTAGGTATTCAGGGAACTCACTTACCAAAAGGAATCCATTTATATTTACCACAGATGTGCATACTATACAAGAAAAAGACGTTGAGGGTAATTAAAACCCACACAACTCTTCCTTATCTAGTAAATACCAGTTTTAAACATTTACTAGGGACACGTTTGTGACAGGTACCTATTTTCGAGGCCCCCTCGACAGCTGTATTCCCATTCAGCTTCAGTTGGTAACCGCTTCCCTGCCCATGTGCAGAATGCCACAGCATCATTCCAGGAAACATGAAGAACTGGATGATCCATTCTAGGGAGCAAAACAAATAGGACAAGATCATCAGCAGAACTAGGCAATCATCTCACAGCTATATAGCACAAACACCTTATGAAACTGGTTTAGAGATGGCCACAAAGGACTGTGAGCCAGTGAGGCTCACTGTCAGTCCAGTGAGGAAGTTCACGGTTCGGTTACAACTGGACAAGGTATTAGATTACTTTTACAGAAAAGCTATTTAAAGAAAGACATCAAGATGCTGGAAGGGAAATGCAGCCATCAGAGAAAAACAAGGAAGAGAAAGAGATTAACTTCGTTTGCTCTCATCCTGCTTTTACATAGAGCTCTCTACAGCTGACATTTGCAGCTTGTGCTTTCTCATGGTCTCACCTCAGAACCTGCTGCACCCAGAAGCCAGCAAAGAACTATCAATACACTGGCTTCTGTGGAAACCCAGGTGCTCAGAGGCTTGAAGGAAGACAGCACAAACCTGCATCTTGCTACTCCTTGCCAGGCCAGTTTAACAATGACTTAACAAGAAGCCAGGATTCTCAATAAGGAAATTTACATTGCAGTGTAATGGCAAATGCTCTTCACTTCCCTGTGCACTATTCTCTTTGCTGCAGGTCCTTTCTTTGCTGTCAGTTGTGGGGCTTTTGAGAGAGAGGTGAGATGAGAAAGAGTTCTTACTCTCAGCTACACCACCTTTAGCAGCACTCAACCCAGGAAACAGTGAACTGTGGAAATTTAACAAGAAAGTATCTTTCTTTGGGTGTTTCAGGCAGCGCAGGGGCTACACAAAAGCTCCCATCTTTCCTTGGGTTTGGATCCAGGATTGCCCTTACAATCCTGATCTCTTCTTCCAGAAAAAGACAAAAAATGCCAAGCCATTCTTGTCAGAAGGATCCAAGCCTCTAATAGACCAAGATACTTCAAAAGCTGAGGGTACGGGTCCAGAAGACAGGCATGGATGACTTCCCATTACCTTGTCTTTCCTGCTTTGTTTAACAAGCCAGCATATGCCTATTGGTCCTTTAGGCTACTTCCACATAGCAAGCTCACCAGCAGTTGTACCATGCTAGGTTTGCACCATACTTCTACAAGACCAGATTTATATGGCAGGTTTCCAGCTCTTATCTGCTGACTGTGACCTAAATTTCTGCCTCCCCCTAACAGTGCCTCCTGATATTATCTCTATTTTTGCCTCAGATAATTCTTTCATTGCCCTTGGAGAACAGACAACGGACTCGTTACTAAGCAGTTCAGCCACCAGATGATGTTACACTAACATGGCCCTGTCCTTAGAGGACTCAAAAACATGCCACCATCTACTAGATCTAGGCTAGAGTCTGACTTCATTTCAAACAGCAGTTTTGGAACTTTATCTAGTTGATTAAGGCAGCAAGTGCCCACTTCATTGACACCTGCCTAGCAAGAGTAAGAGTTGCAATATAAGAGGTCCCAAATGAAGATGTTCACATCTGGGTAAGCATGGACTAACATACTTAACGAACAACAGCTTTTGACACAAGCAACCCAGGGCTAATTCTGCAGTATCCATAAAAAGCACCTGAGAATAATGAAATCTCTTGGATTTTTTCAGCGTAAAATCCATTCCACTTCCAAATGGAAAGAGACTGCATAAAGATATGGGTCAGCAAGTTGCAGGGCTCATGTTAGCAAAGCACAGCACTGTCCACAGGCTGTTAAGAACAAGTTCAGTTTTGCAAATTACTTATGACTTCTAGATAAAGACATAACTGATTTTCCACAATAATCACCCTCCAAAGCATACAGGAAAAAACACAAAGCTTTCCAGTCTTCTGCTGCCAGAGATAGAACTCCATATCCCAAGTGGAGGACATACTACATGGACTCCTAAAGTATGCATGCAGCTAGTATTTAGCCTTCCTCTCCAAAATCAGATTTGCACTGAATGCTCTGAAGTTCCTGACCTTCTAAAGACACATCCTGTTTCACTGCTGGTATAGAAACATGAACAGAAAACACACTGAAGCACATTTCAGTATGGTCTCTTTTCCCTTGGGTGGAGAGTGTGGACTTTTTGAAATACAACTACACCATTGATCATATGACCACTGAGTATCACATGCAACACTCTAGAAGAGGGAAAACAGTCACAGAAGCAGCAGCAAATGGGCAACTACTTAAACCCCCTTTCTTGCACCCCTGTTCCTGGAGTAAGTTACAGGTATATTTACAAGCACTGTGTATTAGAACTGAATGGCCACTTACAAGCTTACCTGTCGGAGATACTAGAGTCAGGACCCTCTGGGTGCTTCCAGTTGGCTCCCTTCACAGGCAACCACCAAGGAGCAGCTGCAACCTAAAACCGGACAAAAACAGGGAAGAAAAGACTTTAATTCCCAGCTAAAAGCTATTCTGAAATACCACCAGGTGATAACAGGCTACAAAGCTTTCACTTCAGCTCATGGATCTGCCTGCAGCCAACTGACCTATTATGTTCCAAATCATTTCTGATAAAACAAGATGATCATTTGACCCACATTCCCAGGGAATACCACAGGGTATGGAACAGCAGAAAGAAAAAACACCACCCGAAAAACAAGTGAGAGAAAGATCAAATCTCTAGTGTATTTTACCCAAGTGCTGCCCTCTGGCTGTCTCTTTCCCTTCCACATTTTCCTCACCTGCTTCTCTGATGAAAGGCACAGTTTATTCTCTCTGAAGGCACAGCCTTCAGCTGCTACCTCCGGTGGAGCACACTGTCCTCTCAGAAATTCTCAGTTCCTGACCTCTGAAAACATGTGCCAAGAACACTCAGAGGGTGGTGGTTGGAAGAGGTCAGCTGGAATGTTACAGTTCTATTCTATTCTTTCACAACAATATGCCCAAGGTACACTGAAACAAGCTGACCTCCTGCCTGCCTCCAGTCTGACACATTATGCAGAGACGATGAAACATAAAGGGACAGTTTTGGCTTAAAGAGATTTTCCTTCCCAATTATTTGCTCCCTAGACTCAGCGTTTCGAAATAAAACAAAACCCTGATGAGGTCCTTTAACTATGGTCAAAGCACACATCTTGCAACACATTTGCTTTCCAGTTCATTAACTCAATAAGCTGATTCTAAATTATTTGCTATCAGCTTCCAGAAGGTGGAGACAGAAGAGCCACTGAAGTTAAGTGAAACTGCCTTTTCTTTCTAGCTGGTTTGCTGAGCAACATTAAGTAGACAAAATACTTGGTAACAATGCACACATCAAGTACTTCTCTCTAACCAAAAGTCTCAAATGCAGGTCTGCAATGCCAAGGAATTATTCCTGGAATACATTCATTCAGGATTGCTTCTATTAAGCTTACTTCAAAGCCGAGAAGGTCAGTGTGCAGCACATTGAACTATTCTGTTCTGATTCACATTCACTTAGGAATACTTATCTTCATGGTAACAGGTTCTTCCAGAAAGTTGAGGCAAAAAAGAATGCTTATGTTAAGCATCAATAGTGGGTTTATTCCAGCAGCTTGAGTGCTTGCTTCCAAGATACTCCTATTACACAGATAATCTCCTCCATAATGGACAAAAATCAAAGTAAATAAGCCTCCAACGTTTTAAGAGTCCAACAACCTACCAGCTGGTTAGCCCTGGACCTAGGAGATCCAGGTGCTACTCTAACAGGGACCTACAGAACAACCTTCAGCAGCTTCTGCCCACTCTACTGTCCCTCATCTTTCCCCACTCAAGAGATGGCAAAAGGAATCGTAGAATATTTATTTCTCTTCACCACGCTGCTAAACCAACTTTGTGAAGTGTTATGCACAGAGGCAGGAATTGTGCCAAAAGCATTATCCTTTAACTCACCAAATCCTCCATGGGGAAGTCCAAAGTAAAAGTGACTGAAAGCTGGTACTCGGGAGACAGAGCACCAGTCCAGTCAAACAAATCTAACAGCCACTTCTAGGAGGAAGCTGCATCCTCCGGCAGTGAAGAGCATTTAACATGTAACTAAATGTGCATGAGAGAGAAAATTATCTATGACAAACATAAATTGTTAAGGAAAGAATCTGGTCCAAACACATCAGATCCTTCACTTGAATGCTTCAATAGGAATATAAACTGAAGTGTATAAGAAAGAGAGGTGCTGCTAATACACAGAGACATTATTTTTAAAGCATCTGACCAGTCTATGCTGTAACAGCTCCCATGACAGTTTCACTCTTTTCCCATTATCACACAGAGATTTTGCCTACAGCATACATATGGGTACCTTACCTAAAAGGTCAATAGCAATCCTGGACTAAAGCTGTAGGGTTGCTGGCTTAAGCTGAACTAGGACCCCACAACTCTTTACGAGCTCTAGGCAAGAGCACTGGAATCCCTGAACATGCTGGAGGGCTCTGGTCCAGGCTGGGAAGCTATCCACATCCACAGGTCTTTGACATTCTCTCTTCCAAAGAGACTGTAGACATCAGTGTCAAGTACAAAAGAAATAAAGATGCTCCCAGCAGCTTGCTGGCAACTATGTTCTGTCCATGCACTTTCTACCTACACAGGACCCTCCAGGAACACCACTCAAGTAATGACATTTCTTGAAGATCCTGTTTTCTGATCTTCCTAGCGTAGCAACCACCAATGGACAACACCAACCACATAATCCTGGCTCAGTATCTAACAAAGCTAAAGACATTCTCAGCACAAGCAGAGCCCCTACCCTTCTCAAAAAAGCATGAGAAGTATTTGACCACTTACTAGAAACTACAGCTCTGCTACTGAGCATTCAAACCCAAAGATGGAATCTCCATGCAGAGAGATACTCTGCTCAACTCTCATTGCACTAAAGCTTCAGAATGACCAAGCTGCTAAACATATACTACAGTCATTAGGTTTAAAACTAGTCTCGTTTAACTAATTCCTTGTCTATTTTGAGCTTTAACCTTTAATCTATACTCAAAATAGGACAGAAATCCAAAGTTAGAATATTACAGCTATTTAAGGAAAAATAAGACTGTCGTGGTACCATTTGCTAAAGGTTCTCCATGAATCTGAAAGATCCCAAGTAAGATTTCATCCCAAGAGTTCCAAGCACAACACATTTTTGTAAATTAAACTGCTGGGTTTTGGATAAAAAGACAATCTCTGCAGGAGACTGCAAAGACACTTTAGAAGACTTTATTTTTGGAAAACACTTTTGTTATGCAAAAGAAAAAGCAGATGCTTTCAATCAGAATGGTTTATTTTAAACTGAGAAAAATACAGTCTCTCTGCATGAGAGCACTACGTGTGCATCTCTTCTGTTTCTGGCTCTGCTGAACTGAACACCAAATGGCTGCCAGTCCTTGCAGAACACCCAGATCTTCAGAGAAGTTACACATATAGTGCTAGGACAAGGATAACTATGATAGACTACGTACAGCCTTCAATAATTAATTGGAAACTTATCTAAGTCAGCCACTGACAGCAGCAAGCAGGCACCAAGATGCTTCGTCCAAAAGAGAAAGTCATCTACCTGAAATTTACAGTCCTTTCAAACAACTTCTCAGAAGACTTTAAACCTTTTAATTGCTCTAAATCTAATTACGAGTAGAACTAATTAGACAGAGATATTACAACATCACAATTAATACAGCAAAGCCCTCCCTTGCCACTAATGAGCTTAGTTACTTTCATAATGCTTAGTGTTCTCATGCTTCACTCCAAAACATGTGTTCCGTAGACTGGCAACAGATTCATTTTGCAAAAATAGCAGCATATGCTGCTGAATAGATCTTGAAGAGATACTGAATTAGAGGACAGTATCTCCTTCATTTTGATTAACTCTCTACAGCACAGGCTCACACTTGAAACAGAACTGGTTAAACATAACCGCCCTGCTAATGTTACACATCAGCCTGGATACACAGGAAATGCAGTTCTAGGAGCAAAGCACATTTCAGAGGCACAGAAGCTCAATGCTTATTTTGGTCTGATCCAGCTAAAAGTTTGGATTATCCAGCTCTCTGCTCCAGGATTAAACTTTAAGGACTCACTGTTCTGCCTAACACGGACTTGTAGCACTTTAAGAAAAAGAGAACGCTGTATGATAACACTGGGAAGATTCACTAACAGTTCATTTCAACCTACAAGTTTTCCGCTCAGATGAAGCAATTTGCAGAACTAAAGCCTATACTCCCACTATCAGATTGCATAAAATTCAAATTCAATTTTCCTTTCAAAGTAGCTTAGGAAATCCTAACTTTAATTGCTCCATTAACTCGTGATTTCAAGATTTTTAGACTACTTTACAATTATCTTGAAGAAAACTCTTTACTAAACCTACACAGAACAAATGAAAGGGGGGGAACATCAAGAAAGTCAGTTTCATTATCAGCATTACTCCGTTCCCGGTACTGCAACTGCAAAAGCAAAAGCAAAATACCCTTAAAACCACATCTAAAACCTCAGCCAAGAACCATGAAAACATCTGTATTCTTGTACCTAACATGGCACTGGCCATGTTAGGAAAAAACAAAAACAGTTTGGCTCCAAATTTCAAACTCAAATCACATTCACTTATTAGAAAAATTACCAAAATAGACTGAAGTGAGCACCTAAACCTGGCTCATTTCTAGCACACAGCAAGTCTCTTGAAATAACAAAGCTGTAGATCTTAACCTTAAGTCAGGCCCGTAAGATGATGAGAAAAATTCATGCTGTTGTCCAGATACGTAGCACTAAACATGGGGGGGTTTATGTACTAGATCTTCCTAGTGCTATTTTACTATAATAAGGCTTGCATACACTAGGTCAAGATAAACATCTGGAAGAAGCAAAAGTTACTGCAGATTAAGAACTTTAGCAATTTAGGAACCAACTGTCTGAAAAGAGATTTTCCAAGTGCAAAGTAGTCTGGAAAGAATTCATTTACTAAGTGGTGGGTTCTTAAAGAAACATACGTCAGTTTCAGAAGCTGATTTAATAGGTGACCACTTGTTTGAATCAGGTTGCGTTAAGCACTCTACATGTTTAATTGGCAAGAGCATCCCCTTGGCTGCAAAAGCCATGTGTACATCAGCGGGAAGCAGGGAAGTTACCAAGCATGATCTCTGGGAAATACAGGCAGTGATCTGGGCACACTCACTGCCAGCACTGTAGCATGTGAGAAAAAAAGTAGTTATTCAGTAAAGAACATAATTTTTGGATGAGGTTTTATTTTATAGTCATGTAAGGCAGATACACATAAATCTCTGTCAATTTTTCCTCCTTTAAGCCATATCCTAAACCCTCAACAGATGATTAACGAACTAATGAAGAGGCACACAGAAAATCGAGCACTTTTAATAGGGCAGGGAGCTTAAGAAATTAAAATGATGACTGTGCAACAGCTGAGCA